ATTAACAAGAAGCCAACAAGAGGGGAAAAATTATCAAGGAGGAACTCCTCGTCAACAGGAAAGTGTGACACCCAATCAACCGATCCCTGAAGTTGCAGTCAGAACAGGGGGTGATGAAAGCCTCTTTTCTGTAGTGAGACAGCTCCAGGCTGAGAAGAAGGAAATACAACAGGCCAGAGAGAGAGATGCTCTTGAGATGTTGGCCTTAAGAAGAGAGAACGCTAACTTGAGGAAGGAAATCAAAACCCATATACCCTTTCAGACTACCCCTTCCACTCAAGAGCAAGGAGAGTTTTCAGCGTTGCAAGAAAAACCAAAAGGAACTGTACAAGTTGGAACCCCTACTGAACAGGACGATGGCCCGAGTCGAAGCCCTTTTACTCAGCTTATCCTGGAGGCCAAGTTACCTGATAATTGGAAAGGTTTAACATTAGAAAAGTACGATGAGACGTCTGACCCAGGAGAACACTTGGATATTTTCATAACCCAAGTCATTCTGTATACAGAAAATGACACCTTATGGTACAGGAATTTTCCCACCTCGCTTTGAGGACTAGCTCTCAGTTGGTTCACCTGACTCCCCTCTCCATCTATCGACTCTTTCGCAACTCTTACAAGACGATTCAATCTACAGTTTGCCACAAGCCGACGTCACCTCTTGACATCCCTAGCACTTGTCAACATTCGTTAGGAAAAAGGAGAATCACTCCGAGCGTTTATAGAACGATTCGGCAAAGTGACGCTTTTAATTCATAATTTGGAACCAGCCGTGGCCATGCACCACCTCACAACGGCCCTTAAGCCAGGTCCTTTCGTTAACAACATCTGCAAAATACCACCAGTTGACTTGGATGAATTAAGAAGTTGGGCTGCAAAACATATGCAGATGGAAGAATTAGCTGAGTACCGTAATTAAGTTTGGACGGACTAGGGTCCAATTCAAAAAATATAGATAAGAGAGAAAATTTCAAATCTCGACAAGAAAACAAAGAACGAAGGAATGGGCTTGAGAGGCCGCCTAGGAGGCCCAAATATCCCTCCTACACTACACTCAACACTAACCGATCCAGAGTACTTGATCAGGCCTTAGAAACATAAATCTTGAGTATGCCCAGCCGCACCAACACCCCTCCTCGGGCAGATAAGAGCAAATCTTGCCGGTATCATCGCAATAGGGGCAATACGACAGAGAAGTGCACAGCCTTAAAAGATAAAATTGAAGATTTGATCAAGGACAGACACCTTAGAGGATTTGTGCAAACAAACCCTATTGGTCATTCTGAAAGGGGGAGAGATCGATACCACAAGTCATCAAGAAGATACCATAATAAGCAGCCTAAAAGACAACGAAGTTGGTCAAGGGAACCTCCCGCCACACGATACGATGAACGTGAGAAATATCCTAAGAGGGTTATTAATACCATTGCTGGTGGGTTCACAGGTGGAGGACCCACCCATTCGACTAGAAAAAGACATTTGAGACAAGTACGCTCTATCAACAATGTGTCATTGGGCAGTAGAATCTAGATTCCGCCCATTACATTTATGGACGAAGACTTTCAGGGAGTAGATCCAGTATAGGATGATCTCATGGTCATAAGTGTGGACATCCTTAATTGCACCGTTTGGAAAACACTAATTGATCAAGGGAGCTCGGCCGACATCCTGTACTGGAATACGTTCAAACAGCTAGGCATACCAGAAGAAGAACACAGAGAATATCACAAACCACCGGTCGGTTTCTCCGGGGAACGAGTAGAGACCCGGGGATGTATTGACCTTTACACCTAATTCGGGTCAGAACACGAGGGAAAGCGTATCAAGGTCACTTACCCGGTAGTTCATGCGAATTTCTCGTACAATATACTACTCGGCAGACCATCCCTTAACAAGTTGAAGGCCATAGTGTTTACTCCTCACTTGGCTATGAAATTTTTGTCAGAAAGGGGTTGAATTGTTACAGTCTACGCTGACCAAAAGACAGTGAGAGAGTGCTATTTTGCAGGCCTATGCCTCAAACCAATTCAAGACTGCAGATGAGATGTCAATATTGTATCTCCTCAGTCTGAAAAGGACTTAGGGATTGAGCTGGATCCTAGGGTTGATGAGGGGTGTTGGGTTGAGCCCAACGAAAATAAGCAACCCTTCCAGCTTGGGCCGAAGTCTGAACATGTTACCTATCTAGGGGTCAGTCTGTCTATACAAAAGAGGCAAGACTTTCAAAAAGTATTGCAACGTAACACTGATTTGTTTGCCTGGTCGGCTTCTGACATGTCGGGCATCGATCCTGCATTTTTTTGTCATCATCTATCAGTTTATAAGGGGACCAAACCGATAGCACAAAAGAGAAGAAAAACCGGAACAAGTCCAAAACATATAGGTTAGGGTGAGAATATCCATAGGCTAATATTGATCCTAAAAACACTCCAAAATTATACTCGAAATCTCCTATTCCAAAATCTTAATTAAACATTAATATACATTTGTTATTGCATGCATTTGGTAATATATTCTTTTTTTTTCTTTCTTTTCGTTATTTTTTAGTTTCACATAGCGTGATTACAATCTAAAAACAAATTAAATGCATTAAAAATATTATTATCAATTAATAAAAATATTAATAACATTAATTTTAAACAAAGAAAATTAATTTAAAAAATATATCCTTTTTAAATATTTAAAATTAATCAATAGTGTTTGAAAAATAACACATAAGTAAAATTATTTCTCTCAAAAGTGTTTCTTTTACCTTCATTAATTTTTTTATCAACTGCATTAAAAAAAATCTACCATAAAAATATATAAATTATTACATAAACTTTGAATGAATAATAAATATCTTTATAAAGTATGTGTTTATAATTTTACACTTACACTATAAAAAGTATCGACTATCATTGTTAAATTATTTTTTTCTATCCCCTTACTATTTGTTGTATTACTTTAGGTCAATTGAAATAAATGTTTTTTATCATAATAAAAAATAATATTAAATTTAGACGGTTCAAAAAATTAGTTTAATTATATATTTATATCTATATGATAAAAAAAAAATATAATAGGTATACTCTTTTCATTTCATATTAAGTTTTATTTAAATATTTTCTATTTATTTCAAATAATTTATTAATTTAGAATATAAAAAATTATTTATTTGTACTAATGCCTATATTTATTATTAAAAATAAATCTTACCAAGTAATTATTATAATAAATTTAATATTATTTCAATAATATTTTTTACTATCTATCTGCCAATAAATTTATTGTTTTAAATATAAATAATTTAATAAAATTAATTTATTTAATCATAGTAATTAATAAAAAATATTTTATTAAGATGCATGCATTGATGTTAAATGATATCTAAAATAATTTTAATATATAAAAAATATTAAATAAAAAATAAAAATGTACAAAAATAAAAAATACTTATAAAAAAAATATCTTAATGAGTTTGTATGAATTATAAATACATTTTTTAATTTAAGTAAAAATTATAAATATAATTTTTATAGTATATAAAAAGCATCAGAATTTTTTTATATATGGTATTAAAGTAATATATATTAAAATATAGTATTTTGAAAAAAATTACGGTAGAATTCAAAAATCGTCATTAATAATTTTTTGTGCGGATTTAGAGATTTAGAAACGAAACAATAAAAAGTTTAAAAGTCTTAAAACTCAAAAATGACGATTTGTCAAAAAAAATATTAATTTTTTTTAAAGTCGAAACTCACTAATGATAATCTTCAAAAAATAATAAAATTTTAAAAATAAAAAATCACCATAGTAAACAAAATTCAAGAAAAAAAAACATCATTGGAAATTTTAGTCATTTTGAAAAATGTTTATATTTTTATAATTTTTCTTAGAACACTATTGATAATTTTTTCTTTATATATATATATATATATAAACTAAAAGTGTCACTATTATTTAATAATAAAAAAGTTTTATATATTAAAAAAATATAACAGATGATATTTTTATTATTACGATAAAATTTTTATTTAGTTATATACAAATAACTTAAAATAATATCTTTTAAAATTTTAATTTAATTTTTATTTTAGCTGTGTAAGTCGTATATATTAATAATTTGTTTAAGACTTCTCTTGTAGACCTTTTAGTATGTAAACTCTTTTGATTTATTAAACTTTTTAGTTCACAAAACTTTTTTCCCCTAATCTACATAATTACGGATAACATTAGGTCAATTGAACTTTTTTGGGCTCTAGTTTCCTGCGAATTATTTCTATTGAATCAAAATGTTGTTTTGTGGTTATTGAAATGTTCTTGTTGCACGGTTTCTTTCGGTGGTTTTGTTACATATTACAATTCTAGGGTAAAGATGTTTATGATTTATCCCTCATTTTTTGGGTATATTTCGCTAAATTGTTTCGGAATTAGAATTTTCATGAAAATAAAAATAGACGCAACGGCAATTTTCTCAAATAAGTAAAAATATTTTCATGAAAAAAATAAATTATTAATATGCATTTAATTTAATTTTTGTTAATTTTTACGGGTATTTACAACTCCCTTAATTTTAAAAAATAAATTTTTACAAGTCTCATTAATTTTCGAGAATGTAATGTTATCACGCTTTACTTGATTGTTCTTTCCCCAGTGAAGGATGAGGATTTTTCATTCTCATAATTAGAACAAGGAAAGTTATTTTTGGTGGAATTATTATTTAGATTCCAAACACATTTATTTGTAGATATGTATGAATAATGTAGAAAAATGGTGTGAAAACATTGTTGTAGACGGTTTAATATTTATGTAGCAGGAGCATATAATAATGTTTACAAAATTGATAATATGGTTATATATTTTTTGTGAACCCTATGACAATTGAAGCATGAAACATGTGTTGGCTTGGGTTGACCAACCTGGTGCTACACGGAGACAGAGTGTGGAAGAAAAAGGCATTATTCACATAAAAGGGCACAACTAAGGGGGCTATTGTGTGTGAGATTGAATTGGAATTGTCAGGAGAAGGTTACTGATTTTTGGAATATTCTTTGGCCAGGAGCAAGCATAAGCAAAGGGTCATAAACAGATTTTATTTGGCGCAAAATCTCCCATTGAGGACCAAAGTGCGCCCGCCATTCTTCCTGTGTAGTGTAGTGCGGTAGATATTGCTTCACCCCAAGATTGCTTCTTTCACAGTATTCTAAAATTCTTTTGTTCTGACTCAAAATGTTTTCAAGCCCATCAGGACCATTAGATGAGGGCACTGCAGATGCCAGAAATGCCACTAAGTAGAAAATATCTTCCTCTGGCATCACCACAGAACTTCTTTTGTCCCACCTGCACATAAATATTTTTAATTCTGGTCTCAAAATTTTATGAAAAACTAAGTATTATGTATTTTCATTATTTTAAATATGATTCAAATTCAAAATTTGTCTTCCACTATTTTAGTTTTCTTAAAAAAATATCAACCTTAGAGAAAAGATTTTGTTGAATTCATTTATCAACAACGAAAATTTTTTGTTAGAATTTTTTTTTACACATTTAAAGAAATTAGTTTTGAACGAGATGCTAAATGGTTATTTTTTTTAATTTGTACTTAATAACGTAATTTTTTTTTAATATAGAACTAATATACATCCAAATATGTTATTGTTGTTATGTGAAAAAATATGAATTAATTTCAAAATTTTATTAACAAAAATCGTTTTGAAGGACTATAAAAAGTCTAGAAAAGAAAATCGACTTTTACTTTGATTTATTTACTGGGTAGATAAGGACAGGGCCGTTGCTTGTTTCTGTTACGATGTTCCTGAAGACACCCTCTGCGAAACGGTGTATTTTGCTTTTGGGTATAAAAAGATTGAGCCATGGGTGTGGAACATCCCACAAGCCTTTTGCACGCAACTTGACCTCTGAGATATGCACCCTGTCTAGGAAATCCACATATGTGACTTCGGTTTGAAAAAGTGTTGATGGGATATATTTCAAGTGGGACAAATGTTTCTCAACTTCCTGCATAAAGCATAGTGAGAATGTTAAATGAGAAATTTTCATTTATTTTTCTTAAATAATGATGAGAAAAACTAATCTTTGGGTTGAGTTTTTTGCTTCCTCACCTGATTCACTAAAAGGGTTTCTTCCAGATTGTAGTATTTGGCCAACTCTAGGCAGAAGAGTGTTCTTCCATCAGACTTGAACTTGCTAGCTTGAACCGGGTCTTGTGGGTTGAAGGATGATCTCCAGTTATTTAAAAGACCGGTTCTGTTTATTATCACAAATCCTTCAACATAATCAAAACCCTTTTCTTCAAATATTAATTGCTCTTGGTCTCTAGTGAATGCTGTGAAATCTACATACAGCACTCTGATCCATTTTACCTGTTCAATAATAATAATAAAATAGAAACATTCAGTGATCACAACTGGTGCTTTGAAACCACCAATTTAAATTAGAGGACCAAATTTTGGTATTGTCGCTGATGCATTACCATGGTTGGTGCTGGTTCCAGTAATATCCTTGCTCTTGTGATAATGCCAAACTGACCTAGCCCCCCAAGTACACTGTGAAAGAGTTCTCCATTCTGATCCTCAGAACAGTTTACCACCTCTCCTGTTCCTGCAGTCATTTTTATCCATCATCTTTTTATTCATCCAATAGAAAGCATATATATTTTGTTCAAAAATTTGTGTACACGAGCCTTCCCATTTCCAAGTGTGTCCAATTTTAACTAAAAAAATGCATACTAAGAGATTAATTATGGGAAGTTATTATGTCAGTTTCGGATGAATTATTAGTTCAGAAGAGACAAAATAGTAGCTGAATTATTTAGAAAATATGTTTTTTCCTTAAAAAATTTAGATAAAATTTTTAAAATACTGTGTGTTATCCTTCAATTAAAATTATAATTTTACTTGGTTAACTAGCATTAAAAGTCGAGAATAATTTTCATGATCAAACTCTTATTTTAATTAGAGAATAACATAAAATATTTAAGATATTCCATTAAATTTTATCCTTTCTGTCTCTTGACCCTTGACGTTGCTCTCATCTGCCACATGTATATATTTATTTTCACAAAGTTACCAACCTGTAACAATCTCCAGCTCCTGAACATTACTTATCTGGGGACCATGTCGAAATGCTTGTCCACTTACACCAGCGTTGGACAAAGTGCCACCAACTGTGAGATGTAAATAATCTGTCCATGATCTTGGTGTCAATCCATACCTTAGTGTCTCATGCAGGATGTTTATCCACAATTCCCCTCCTGAGACATCCACATAAGGAGGAGATTCCCCTGTGTGTACATGCATTTCAGGGACACCAAGTGATTGCATGTTGATCACAACTCCTCCATGAGCCTGTGCCTGGCCCTGGAGTGAATGGCCATGCCCTCTAGCTGCAACAGTGAGCTCAGAACTAGGACCCATGTTCCAGATATGTTTTATGGTGACCGCAATGTCAGAAACTGATTTTGGATGCAACACTGCTATGGGATGAGATTGGTACCTGTTGCCAAAGTCCCTGGATGCATGTTTAAGGTCAACTTCTTCAAAACTCAAGTGACCCTCCAAGGGAACTGATTTCAATGAAGAAGGGATATTGACACTGGAAACACAGAAATTGAGCCTAATGGTTATGCAACTGAGGAACAAAATCATGAAGCCTCTGATGAACAAAATGTTGTGTTCTCTAAGGAGGCTGAATGAAGGGTATTTCATTTTTGTGTTGGGAGTTAAAGGGTGGTGAAGGAAGTTAATCATCATTTAGTCCTTATTTGTTTGTGAGCAAAAACACAAGAGGAGTGATGCAGTGGAGAAGGAGTAGAGGGTTGGGCAAGAATTTATAGAAGTTTGTGGGTGGCTGAGTCAACCTTTCAGTTATGAGAATCCGTATGAAGACTACTTACTTGGGAGGATTGCTTTTGGTTCTCCCTTTTGGGTTAGTTTGTTTAAAAGAGAAGCATAAGCCATCATACTTATGCTCTAGTTGAAGAGAAAAAGTGACAACAAAGAGAGATCTTACAAATCTTCCCACTTTTCCAAACAGTTCCTACCACAATCTCATCTTTCCATCAAGGACAGACATGTTTCAAACTTTTGATCATTAACCAATTTAAGTATACATACTCTATAATTTTTTCCCAATTTTGGAAAAGAAAAAAAGGGTCATTTTTCTTTTGCCACTGCATATATTTTCTCTCTGCCTTTTGGGACAGGTTAGTATATATTGTGCCCATGCTCCTGTCTACCTCATGTATGTTGAAGGGTGGTGATGGTGGTGGTGGTGAATCCATTAGTGTTGGAGTGTAAACATCGAGTATCCCTGCCATTAAATTGAATGAGAAGGACTTGTGGGCTTGTATTAATAGATTCAAGAGAGGGATATGACGTTGTGGGGTCTATGTTGGTCCATGTGACACGTGAAGTCTTCATTTCTTTTGTGCTTGGTTGGGACTAGGTACCTCTTCTTGGGCCCTTCTTTGTAGGCCAAACTAATGAAAGAAAAACAAATTGAAACAATGAAAGTCTGCTACTTACATATCTGATGCAATGCTGCACAACCACCACTGCACTGTCGTTGCTGCTGCTGATGTTAATTAGAATCTTTAGTTCAAAGCTATTGGACAATTTTTTAGTGGTTATTTTGTCTATACCCTTTTTTATATATTTTTATTATAAATTTAGATGGCAGTGAGTGAATTACTCTCGTACTTGTAGTCTTATGACTTTAGCATTTTTTCTTATTGCAAGTTGTATCGTTGGTCCAATGAGAGATTTTATAGCTTCTTAGAGTGATATAGGAGCATCTTATGTTCCCATTCCCTCCATGATGAGCATATAAATTTGTCACTTCATCAGATTGGGAAGCATGCATTCGTAATCTTCTGTTGCTGAAATTATTTTGGTCATTCAATGGGTTCCATGTGGTCCTGGAATTGGAAAACCTTCCTTGTTTTATGTAGGTCACCAATGGGAATAGCCTGTAGGTAGCAGCATCTATATGTTTCATTGAGAAGAAAACATAATGATGATAATTGATAGTGTTTGTCTCCCTTTTTGTTTTCTTCTCCTTAATAAGTTGGAATACTATTTCTGTGAAGTCAATTAGTGAATTGTAACTAGGATATTAATTTATTTCCTTGTTATGGATTCCACATGTTTACATTTTATTGCTAAGATTGTTTTTCTTGGTCTGGTTTTGTTTTGCTACTTCATTTCCTCTCCCTTTTTTTTTCTCTGTTGGCCTGTCCTACCATTTATGCTCTTTTGTGATTTAATTCCTTATGCCTCTATTAAACTTGGTTGGTGCCCGAGTAGGATCGGATGTCAGTGTAAGATTTTTGTCTCCAAAGTAATAAGAGTGCATTAATCTTTAATCTAGTGAATAACGATGTCAATATACATCAAAATTTTATCGAGACAATCTCATTTTTGAAAAACTGTATTTTTTTATTTTAGTTTATAATTTCTTATTTAATTAATCCTTATTAATTTAGTTGCCAATTTAATCAAACTCTTTCATTTTGGTCTTTAATGTTAATTAAAAAAATGAGGTAAAATAAAACTAAAATAACTAACTTTTATATAATAAAAAAATAAAATAATAATATTAAAAATAAATATTAAAATAATTGATCTTTGCAATTTTCACTAGTGTAGAAAAGACTTTCTTTATTTACTTTCTACGTTAGTTGATAATTAATCCATCTAATAAAAAGTATTGGGACATTTTTAAAAATAATAAAAACTTCTAAGATCAATTTGTTAAAATAATCCATTTTGTACATCAGTTTAAATTTGAATCGATATAAAATTCATGACTTTTAAATTATATATATATATATATATATATATATATATATATATATTATGGTTTTTTTGTTATTTAGATACACTATTTTTTTTTACTAAGCTCAACTCTATTTATAAAATAAGAAAAACATTATTTATATTCTTTTATTACTTGAAATTTCTTTATGCTTTATGGTTGCAGCCTTATTTTTCATTCTTTGAATTATAAGAGGCTATCAAAAATCATCATTTGGCTTTATTGTATCGCATGTACATAATAAGTTTGCCATTCTTTTAAATAAAAGTCACGTCCAACACTTAAATAAAAGTCATTTTTCTTTCTTTTTTTTGTTCTCTTATCCTATTTAGCTGATTTTTTTTTTTTGTCAATGATGGATTGTAGAAAAGCAATTAAAACGTGACATTGGGGGAGCACCAAGTAATATAGCAAACATTACAATAGGTCAACAATTGGTTTGATACTTGTTATTTGCATGTTGTGAAGTTCTCATTTGTGGTCCCTGCACAAGCTTACAAAGAGAAGCATAGTTATTGATTGGAGAGATAATTTTATTTTTTTTTACATTTTTAAAACAAATAGAAATTTTATATTTTAGGAAGTTGATTTGCTTTGTTGTTTTGTTTGATTTAGTTTAGTGAGTCTTTAAAATTTGTATAAATAATAATAATAATAATAATAATAATAATAATAATAATAACAACAATAATAATAATAATAATAATTATTATTATTATTATTATTATTATTATTATCTTCAATTAGTGGGGCTGGACAGTTTTACCAAACCTGTCCAAATTCGGGAGGCATGAGATAACCAAGAAAAGAAATTGGTAAATTTTTTAAGGTTATGACTGATTTTTAAGTTTGGGTAATTCTGTGTTTAAATGGTTGGGTGCAAGTTTGGTTAATCCAACCCAACGGTACTTGACCCAACCTATAATGCATATAAAACACTTGTATTTTAAAAAATCTAATCCTAATTCCAATGATCCCCTGTTTCTATTGTAACACTCAGTATTTTTTAAGTATTAATTAAAGAATTATGTGATATTAAATGTGATTGGAATAGATTTAGATGAAGTTTAAAATTATTTATATAAAAATAAGTGAATAGTAAGTCGATGTGAACAGTAATTTTAGTGTTAATAGTAAGGCAGTGTGAACAGTAACTTCGGTGTGAACAATTTGAAAATTATTTTTTTTCAAAATTTTGCCTATAAATAGAGGGTCTTGCATGAAATTTTCATTCTTCACACTTCTAAAAGATTCTAGAGAGACCCAATATCATATACTACCATTTTTTCTCATACTAAACCTCTTAAACTTAGATTTCTCTTCAGATTTGGGATCGTACGTTCATTCTAAGCGATTTAAAATAAGTTTTTCTAAGTTTGAATCTAGATTTACAATTCATTTCTCTTCATCTAAAATTTCTTATAAGTATCTTATGATTTTTAGGATAAACTTTGATTTTAAAGCAAAATCTTCGGTTAAATCTTTAAGAAATCCTTATTTTAAGGTAAAGGGACTCTACTTTATCATTTTGTTATGTTTATTACATGTGTTCTCATAGATCTTGTTATATATGTGATTATATGTGGAATAAAATTTGTTTTGTGAAAAATAACCAGGGAAAAGTGAGAATGATTATTTATGTGATTTTATGATGAATATATGAAGATATATGGTGAAAATATGTTATTATGTTCAAAAAGTGCATGATAAGGTATATTGAGGATTATTGATATGATTTTGTGATTTTGTGATATGAGATGTACAAAGAGATAGATGCTTCATGTTTGAATATATTGTGGTTCATGTAAAAATGATGTGTATTATGAATATGCCATTGTTTGATGTATATGATGAAAGGTATGTGAAAATATAATAAAAAATATGTGTGAACATGAGAAATGACATATGTGAACAGGTGAATATACTCAAAAAGAGTATAAGATGGAAATGGATATGATGTAAATAGTTACAAAGATACACTGGGAGGTGGAAGATGGAGACGATATGGGATATCTTGAGAAAAAGCAGGGTGGTGAGTGGCATTTGGGATTGTGCATGCAATATTATGTACGAATATATCATATGGCGGCACACTCGTTTTCCGACTTGATTCCTGACCATTTACCTTTGCTAAGGGGCTGTCTATTACATGCGTTGTATCTGTATTATATTGGATCATTCGGTGACTATTCACATGGATGTGTAAGACCTCAGGATAGAAGCATCAGATAACTGTGGCCACAGGGCGCGGTAAGCATGGATAATGAAAAGAAATTGTGAATCTATGGAATATAATATGTGTTTATGTGTTAAGATGAGAAATTGCTTTATATGACATTGTGATATACAATACCATTATGTTTTCTTTAATTGTAATAAGATGTGTGTTATGATGAATATGTGTTATGTATGAGTGGTAGGGTAGAGACTTACCCATACACAACATTTTCAGGAAACCAGGACAAGTAGTACTATGCTCATAGTGCATGGATGGATGAGAACTGCTATAAGACTTAGTTATTTTAAAATATACAATGATTACTTTCAGTTCTATAGCATTCTTTTTGGTTAACAATTTGTAAGACTATTATCTATTTCAGATACAAATGAAAATTTAGTAACCTTATTTTCTAAAGCATTTATTGTAATGAAATTTTTACACTATGGTTTATATTATTTTCACCCTTCTTTCTCACTTACAAGAATGTTCAAAGGAATTCATTTTATTTTCTTGATTCTTTTATGAAAATATCACGTATTTAAGAAAAGAAAAAATAACGCGTTACATCTATCAGTTTGAATTTGTCATTGTCACTTTGAGTTCAAACCTCTGGTAATTTGTCGTTTATACGTTACCTCACTTTCCTCATATCAGTGTCATAATTCCTAACTCTAATCCCCTCTATTTGGTTTCATTCTCAAGTCTCAAATTTTA